TTTAAATAAACGATTTCACCGATTTACACGCGTTTTCCCTTGACCAAATTTTGACCGTATCACCCTTTACAACTGTAAATCGCTTGCCAAATCATGGCCTTCTTTGTGAACTTGTCGGCAAACACAAACTTGATCTTCCCGACACATCCCCACGTCCAGTTGCGCTGTAAAACTTCTGACCGGGAAGCTGCTTAAGATCGAGTTTGACGTATGTTTCGTCATCGATCAAGAGCCTTGCACGCTTTTTGGCCACGTAATTCTGCTTCATGTGCCGGTTCGGATGTTTACTGGCTTTGTACGACTTGTATCCTTCCCTGGCAAGGATGTTTCACACCGTTTGAAAGTTTTTTTTTTCCTTTGGTTTGTTTTTTCCGTCGATCTTGTTTTCCGTGCTGAGCACAAATGCTACCGACGTGCCAAGGAAGGCAGCTCCCACACCTGGACCCTACCTATCGACCCATCAATTCATGAACCGGGGACCAACGGCTTTACTTCCCATCCGAAGGAAGGCGTGATCAGAGATGTTATGCCTCAGAACATCCCAGCGGCCCCGACTGGGATTGAACCCAGGCCTACTGGGGTGAGAGGTAATCACGCTTACCACTACACCACCGGCGCCGTTCCGTTTGAAAGTTGGCGTTGTACCTTCTGGTCACATCTCGGATCGAAAGAGCGGGGTTGGCTTTAACGCATCTCAACACATTGCTGACGATCGCTGGTTCCAGTTTTTTTTTTCGTAGGTCCGCTGATTCCTTTCCATATTCAGGGTTTCCTTATAGGTTTTGAGCACTCGACAAACTGTTGTTTTCGGCATCTTCAGCACTTTAGCCAGTGGAACCGGATGGGGTCCGGATTTTCCAGGTGCTTGTGCACAATATTTTTTCTTCTTTCGAGTTCCATTTGACGTTATTTCTGAACGTGATCGAATACTTTGATCTTCTTCTTCTTATTTCCTTTATTTAACGTCGGTCTCTGTTCCGCAATCTAGTGCCAATCACCGACGGACATCGATTGCCATCCATTGACGGCAATCGAATGTGCAGGAAGGCAGCTTCCACACCTGCGTAGGATATCGCACCCATTCAACATACATGGGCCGGGACCAACGGCTTTACTTCCCTTCCGAAGGAAAACGTGACCAAAGATTTTTATGCCTCAGAAAAATCCCACCGACCTCGGCTGGGATTGAACCCAGACCCATTGAGGTGTTAGAAAGCAGTCACGCTTACCACTACACCACCGGCGCCGGCGACTACTTTGATCAAACTTTCACCAGTTGTTCTCTATAGGAGTGTAAACAAACCATTGTCAAAGATTTTCGATGCCCAACACTAGAGGCGTGCTAGCGGTGCGCGAGGGGCGTTCCAATTTATTTTTAGTCAGCCTGTATCATAAGAATCCCAAAATCATCATGAAGGATTCATTAAAATGGTATACATTTATATAAAAAAAACCACAAGGGACATCCCTATGGGGTTGTACGCAATGGTGACGTAGGACTACGTGCTCTTATATAATAAATGTTATTTGTGAACTGCAGCAGGAGCTTGTGCTTTGTGTAAGAATAGGAATTTGAGCGGGGTTCTCGCTGGTATGACTATGATTGCCCTGACAAGAACCTTTTGATTTGAATTTTAGTTGGACATGTTCAGAAATTCATCTCTTTTGGAAAATCTTGTTGATGATGACATGTTGGCAGCTGGATCAGCAAATCGGACCGGACAATCCCATATTCTTCGGTTCAATGGTTGGGCAATCGCAAGTGTCTCGGACCGTCTGCTACTGGGCAGGGGTTGAACTGGTGTCTGCGACAGGTTGGAAGGCCGCAGAATGTCAGTGTCCACCCAGCTAAAGCTCCTCCCCTTTGTAGTTTTTCTCGTTAAACTCCTTATCGCAACAAGTTGGTAAATCTTAGCGTTTGGCAGAAAGACGCTTAACCCTTTTTTCGGCGAATTTATGATTCTGTTTCACGTCATGGTTCTGCTCTATGCCTGTTCAGATAAATTAGTACTTTTATTTATTGTCTCTACTGCGCTAAATCAAACAAGTAGAAATAAGATAGGACTTCGGTTACGCGCTAGTATTATTGAAAATTCGATAAATATTTAATCGAATAGCTGGAAAATTCTTTACGATTAATGTAAACCGAATTATTGGACTTTAAGGCATCCCTAGAAAAAAGTGTAATTTCATGTTTTTTGCTGGCCCTTCGAAAATGTCGACAGCAGAATTGCAGCCAACAAGTGTAACCCAAGAACCAAAAGCGGTGCGATGCCAGTTTTCATTGCTATGACGACGACTGAATTAAGGGGCTTAGAGCACCCGCACCAATGCGTTGCTATTCGGGCTGCTAGTTTGACAACTTTGGCCATTGCTATTTTAGTTAGCAAATTGTTTACGTACCGGTCGTTACTATCACGATTGTGAATTTATGTTTTCGGCTTTCGCACCGATAGTTGCTCAACGATAAGATTTTCGAACTGAAATTGATCACAGAGTTTCGTGATTGTTATTTTTTTGACAAAATTGATATACCCAACCATGAACACTGAATACTGAAGATTAAGATCCAACTACAAACCCATTTACTCAAGAAACGGTCCTCCGGAAGATCCGAAACATCGATAAAGGTTATCAATTCGCAAAAAAGATCCATAGCCCAGCCATTTTTTGTTAAATCGCCACATTAATGAATTTGAATCTGAAACCATCATGCGCACACTGGTGGTCACGAAACTGTCTTCTGGGTGGTCTGGAAGATCCATAACAGTGGTCAATTCGTAAAAATGATCGAAATATCGATCTTCGTATGCTCCTTTTATAAAAGTTGCGCACCAAAATGCATAAAGGCATTTTCGGATGCCATCTGGATTACTAGATTTATATATTCACAAGCAAAAATATGTAGAAGTATAAGAAGTTCTGATTGATTGAAAATTGGAGAACTTAAAAGATCTTAGTAACTTTCGACAGCTTCAAGGCAATCTAATAGATTTTCGGAAAATTTGCTTCAGTGAAGATCAAGCGCTTCAGGCCAGTTCCAATAAATTCAGGAAAATTTCATGAGTAAGTTATGTAAACTTCGAGTAAGTTCTGAAAATGTTAGGGCTGTTCCATGAATATCATGAAAACTGTGAGAACTTTATGGACGTTCCTAAAACTTTAGGTTAGTTTCGACAACTTTATGGAAGTTTCATTTATTTCAGCAAAATAGAGGGAACCATCAAGAAGTTCCGAACATTTTAGGAAAGCAAAAAAAAAACAAGGAATAAACTTTAAAAAATAAGAAAGCTACACAGAAGTTCCATGTTTAAAGATCTTCTTGGAAGATCTTGTGGAAGTTTTTGTGAACTTCAAGCAAGCTTCAGGAAACTGCAGGAACTTTTAAAAAAAATTTATAAATATGATTAAAATTTCCGGAACAATAGAAAAACTAGTGAACTTCAGGAAAGATTCAATACCTCAGGGAAGTCCGAAGAAGCTCAGGGAGAATGAGAGAAAGAGATTTTTTTGTCGAAGTGCCGTGAGCTTCAATGCAGTTTTAAAAACTTCAGGAAAATTGTTGGAACCTAAAATATGATCAAGGAACTTCAAGGTACCTAATTCAATTAACTTCAGTATAATTGCGGGAAGTTTAAAAAAGATAATTAGAAACTTTAAGAAGTCTACAACGTGGAGCTCTTGAATCTTTTTTACGCGAGGTCCGGACCTCCCGAAACACCGGTTTGTGGCCAGCAGAGTGCACATGCCGGTCCCAGATCCAAATTCATTAATGTAGCATCAAAATAGGTGATTTAAAAAAATACGGAGCTCTACTTTCTACGAATTGGCCACCTTTACGGATGTTCCGGACTTTTCGAAGGACCGTTCTATGGCCACCGGAATGCACATACTGGTTTCAAATCCAAATTCATTCATGCAGCATAACAACAAGTTGATTTAAAAAATCTAGATCCTTTTTTACTAATTTTCTACATTTACGGATGTTCCGGGTTTGTCCCTTGGGTCCACAGTTTTGTCCCAGATCCAAATTCATTCATCTATCACAATGTTCAAATGAAAAACAAAACAAAAATTTCATAGATAGCAACGCTTGGGCCGGTTGCTATCGCGCTGCTATATTTGTCAACCCGCTGTTCACCAGCGGGTTGTTAGGCAGATTGTTATTTCCCGCACTTGAATAGCAATCCCCAGTGTGGTTACTGCGTTATGGTGGAGGTTGCTAAAATAGCTTTAGCAACGCATTGGTGCGGGTGCTCTTAGAAACAGGGGGGTGAAAGTCTATTTTCTTCATCGATTTCCTCTTTCGATGACCATAGCTTTACTAACTATTAACGAAACAGAAAGTCGCTGAAGGGAATCGATCAAAATCACTTGCACCTCTGCTTCCAAGTTTGGTTACAAGATTATAACTCTGAAGGGCATTTTGTATGGGGCGCGTGTGATTCTGAATATGGTGATGAGTGTGCAAAATGTTACGCAATTGCATCCTCCCTATTCACACACGCCCGAAGATCGGAGGCGAATGCACTTCGACTTGTTTCGTCTAGAAACGATTCTCTGATGATCCACTGTGTTGGTGGATTTGTTAGTTATTTGTACGCTTTTAGACTTGAAATTTACCACTTTTTAATAGTTTCTTGTTGAAAATCAACAGTCGAAAGTATTGTTTCAATGCATAGAAATATTTCTGATCGATTGATGATAAAAAATTTTAAATTTGACCAGGAGCAGCTGAGATATTAACGTTCAAAATCTTTCATAATTTCGTTACATGTTCCATTTTCGGTTTTCACAAAGTGTACCTCGATATTGGTATTACAGACATAGTCCTACGTCAAAAAAAGTTCTGGCAACTTAAAACGTGAAGCAAGAAATACTCTATAGACTTATTGAGTAGTTCGATACTGATGACACGCACTGAGATTTATTTAAGTCATAAGTTGATTTAACTTAAAATGCACATACTAATCAAAACCATTCTCCTCTTCCCATTACAGGCGATATATGACATGCTCGGCGCGTGCTCGTCCAACAAACCGGCAGACTCGGCGGAGGAACGTGCGAAAAACATCTTCGCCAAAATGGACGAAAATAACGATGGCCAACTGACGCAGGACGAGTTCCTCAAAGGCTGCCTGCAGGACGAGGAACTGTCGAAAATGTTGGCACCTTAAGCTTAGACTTATCACCCACTCACACAAACACAAACACAGACATACACACAATGCAACAAAAAAGAACACACACAAAGTTTAGATATTTAGTAAGATTTAAAGTAATATAACAAACAGAGACAGCAAAATGAACAAAAACGCAGAAACAGTTGTTTGTAGGACAAAGAAAAAAAACAGAGCGAAATAGATATAACATTACGCACCCAAAATGGAAACAAAAAAAAAAAAACAAAAATAATGGCAGCAAACATTCACAAACGCGCTCGCGAGCACTCAGATACAGCAGAAATTTGTCAACCACTCTCATATTACATTCACGAAGGCTGATCGATCAGAATCAGACGCGCCAGTTGGGTTGAAAACCCGTTAGGGAATTTTCGCGTATAAAATATAAGTTAATTACAAAACGAGTCGCATGAGCAGAACAAAACAACCAGCAGGATAATTTAAGAAAAGGCATGACATTAATTGCAAAACTTTTTCATCGTGTTGAGCAACCACAGATTAAGGCCACAAACGAGTCGATTTGTTTTCTGTCGTTTTGTTACAGGGATACTGAAAACCACATTCATGCACTCACATTGACAAACAGCGCGCGTTCGGGGATTAAATGCGGGGTAAAACAGAGGAAATATATGATAATCATTTGATTAGTTAATTAGTGGGAAAAGCGGCCGACCCGGTCGGTTGAACGTCATTAAATCAATTTTTATACGTGAGTCGAGCAAAAGGTAAAATAATAATTATATAAAGCAGAAGACACGAGATGGTACGAATTTGAGCCACTATTGCTTCGATTTCCATTGCACAAACATTAGAAAGATAGAGAGTAAAATGGTATGATGTTTTCCCCTGCCTGTATCGAACAATGTTTCCGTTTTCCCAGCGTGTCTCCCCTGTGTGTGTAATAAAAGAAAAACTCGAAAAATACGGATAGAAATCTTAAGAAAACAAAACAAACAAGGCGTTATTTGGTGAGTAATTTGATCCTTTCCCTTCTGCAGTCCTTAAACATTCTGATCGCATTTATGTCGAGTGGATTTCTCTCTTTCTTCCTACCGGGGTTTTACACCGTGATGGGGTGTATCAATCGAAATAATGATTTCATTGCACGTTTCAACCCGCTTGGAACTCTGAAAATCATACACCGAGATGTTGTACACACACGGGCTAAAAATGGGCAGAATGGCATTTGATTTGGAACAGAACTTTTCTGGCGAAAAATGTACAATTTACGAACCAATCATAAAATCCTTAAATCTGCCTCAGAACTACAATCAACAACCCGAAGGTTGCACGCGTGGGACTAATAACTGTTCTCGATTGCGTCTCGGAATAAGAAATCTCCAAATCTACGTGTAGCAAAACGGTCGTTCGGACGAAGCTAGGCCTCAGCAGTTGGTGGAACCCGGGTCCGATTGCAGAGCCAGAAAAAGGAACATAGCAAATTGGAACCCGGTTAGCTGTGTGTGATTGATTTATTTTCCGGTAGCTGCAGCCACTTCTTCGGTCTAATAGGACGATGAATGATGAAGGACGAAAATGAGATGGGGATCAATTGTCTAAGAATAAGAAAAGGAAGATGAGGGAATGGTAAATGGGAGAGAGAGGGGACCAAAATTGGCAACAAAGTAGATGAGGGTTCTACGCTCTTTGGAAGATTTTGGTTTGGTCGTCATGGTAGGCTCAATGTGCCATGCTATTGACAAATGGTTTCCGAAATCACAGTCGCAGCTGCTGATTATTTTTCGTAGCAAGTCATCAGCCCAACTAGTCAGTGGTTTATGGATTTTCAGGACAAATTTTACGACTATTGGCTGGCAAACAAGCAGTTGGTGAGCAAAGTTGTCTAGTGGAAGGAAGTCTGGTGAGTAACTTTTAGCTACCTTTCTTTTTGCCTTTCTGGGTTTCATCCTTGACATGACTGCTCATTTGTTAACAGCTTTGAGCAACCAATAGAATAGAGTTTTTGATTACTAAATGTAGATGAGGACAAAACAGTAGACTTGCATTTGAGCTTAGATCGGTGCTCATTTCGGTCTTTTGATGGAAAAACTCGTTGATATGAATAAAAATGTTGAGATTCAACTGCTCTTTGTTTGTCTACTGTAAACAGCAAACCTGCTCTATAAATTGCTTCATGGAAAACTATGTTTCATCAATTGAGTGAAATCTTTTGAAAAAGTGAGCCATTAGTTTGCTAATTAAAGACTGCCCTAGCGTTAATACACGGCTCGAGAGCATCGTAATAACAACCAGTGGAAACTAACGATTTTAAATTGGCTCACTACTTGACTAGACTATTGGTCCAAAGCAAATCGATTAATGTACCCCATTCTAGTCGAAAGTCTAGTACTACACAATGTTTGTTTTGATTCGCTATGAAAGTTTTCCAGATAAAATGAGGGGTTCGTGGAGCAGAGCCAAAAAGTTGAGCATGGACCTTCGGGACCTACTAGTCTTAGAGGTACCTCTATGATATTAGCCTTTATAGGCGAAATGGCTCTAATGTTGGCCTATGGATCTAAGATTGGGCCCATCACTAAAAATCTGCTCAATTTTATCTAGATGAACTCGTCATTCGGACGGTTTTCATGGATATTTTTGGTCGCTATTGAAAATTTAGTTGATTGCTGAATTTATGTATGGGCCCAAATTAGGGGTATTTAGGCCGACATTACATCCATTTCCCCTACTTTTTGTGACTTTGACATAGAAGTTTGTGCAATTTTATAAAGACATTTTCAGCATTTAGAGACCTGTCCTACGTGACTTTGACGCGGCCATAGAATCTGACTTAAAATTGAATTTCATTTGCTCATTTTTGCTGAAACCACCACTTAATTTCGCTCGAATATGTGCGACATTTACTAAAATTAGAACAAATTTTAGTCAGTGTATGAGTAACCGAGATTTGAGCGAAAGTGAGTAAACTGATCTTTTAGTCAAATTCTACGGGCATTACGAGCAGCTCCTGTTCTGTTTTCATTTCTCCTGCCTGAAAAGAGTCTCTGAAGGCATTTCTGTACTAATTCTTATTTCCGCAAGCTCATTTGACAGTTACCAAGCTAAATGATGCGAATTTTTGATTTGCAACATTGGCAGCGCTAAAATAATCGTTACATAACCAGTGGGGCCTGGCTTAGCTCAGTAACTCTTCTATTGTTTGATCATTCGTTAATTCTTCATAGTGAAACGAGAGCAAACCGTGACACATAATGGGGTGTTTGATAAAATCTCTGATAAAAGTAATGTTAACGTCCATGATGAGCAGTGGATTACATTTACGAGAGAGCAAAAAAGTGGTCTATTTTTCCGGATATAATCCAGTCAATTGCAAATCAGTGTAATTCAAATCGAGTTTCAGTCATAATTCTCGATTACTTTTTCGAAGGGAGGTATTTGGCGTAACTGGTAGTTTGCTCACGCATGCTAACACTGTCATAAGATAAAGGAAATTTTTCCCTACCTGATAGTGTTATTACGTTGGCGAGCTACTAGTTACAAATCGACGATCAAATGCTTTTTTTTTAATAGCAGATACGTCCCTTCGAAAAAGTAATCGAGAATTCTTCGGGGTTACATTGGAAATTCTAATTGGAATTCTTCAAATCCCACTCGGGGTGCTGCAGATCCGATCTGGATCCGATTCTGGAGAATTTCAATAGGGATCCCGAAGAATCTTGACCAGGGCTGGCAAATATCATGGCTGTCATATACAACGGTGACGGAGATTAAAACGAGCATTCACCCTGTGAGGTTCTGCCGATTACCCGCAATCGATTACAGGAACACGGAGCTTTGCACTCAGTACAACTTACCTATTCAACTGCGTGTAGGCGAAAGAGGAAGAGGAAGAGTGTTGGCAAACACTCTACACTGAAAGAAAACATCAGCAATACTTTGAATGATCATTGCATTGCTGGAGCTCTTTTACAATATGATTTCAAATTTCGGATGATTGCCTTATGGTTGAATTCATCATCAGTCAATATGTTACACTTTAGTCAAATAAAGAATGGTATTTATTTGAAAACTAGCTGTAAAACATACAGCGCTCGTACGACAACAATTTAAGAATAGGATGACTTGCAAATGCTTTAAATTAGATTTATAATTCAATTGATCACATTTCCATATTGAGTAGCCAGGAACAGCCATTCCATGATGGGTACAAAAATCGTTTGTTGGCAGAGGATTCTTCCTCCACCACGAAATAGACAATCTTAGGATTCCACGCTTTACCAATGTTCGTACCATAGCGATGACAATGTTTCCACGTCGCATGTCAGCTCAGATCAGCAAATGACGATGATATTTTCATCATCGTTTTGGATGATTTGCATTATGGGGCTAGGGCAATACCAAACCCACATAAACGCGAACCATAACTTGACCTTACCGAAAATGGTTAAAAATTGTTTATAATCCCTACTTAACTTTAACTAAAATGGTTATGGAACTTTGCATGAATATTTGTGTGATAAAGTTTTATGGTTCTTTGGAAGTGAATCTTACAAATAATGGGTTGATAAAAACCATTTCCATTCAAAATAGTTGTTTGACTATATTAGAACCTTTTTACTTATGGTTTGAGAACTTTAATCGAAATGGTTTTGGTAGCCAGTAAGATCCATTAATGGTCTTGTATTATCGGTCAACTTTACGTGGAATGTATCGCGAATTGGTAATCAGTAATTTACAGGCAACCAATTCGCGATATATTCCACATTAAGTTGATCGATGTTACAAAACCATTTATGAGCCTTACCGACTACCATTACCATTACCATTAAAGTTTTCAAATCATTAATAAAATGGTTCCAATATAATTCCTTTCCCAAAAATGTATAGAGAAAACAATAATTTGGAATGGTAATGGTTCTTAACAACCCATTATTTGTAAGGTTCACTTACAAAAAACCATAATACATAAGGTTCAAACTTTATCACAAAAACTTTCATGTTAAGTTCCATAACCATTTCAGTTAAAGTTTAGCAGGGATTATAAACAATTGTCAACCATTTTCGGTAAGGTCAATTGAAGGTTCGCATTTATGCTGGTATGCATTTCAATTTGGGAAGACAATCATTCTACATACAGCATTACGTATTTAAACTGAGGTCCGTTTGCTTCTCGTATTGGCGTTCATCCTGTATTCGAAAGGAACATTATCTGATTACAAAACAACCATCATCCGGTTGCAGTTATCATTTGGAAAAACTATTTCGATGTTTCAATTTGAATGGTCTGAGGTTTCATTCGAACAGATGATGATGTTTTGGTACAGTGTACTTCTTTTAGCTGCGTCAACGTCAATTGACAGCTGGCCGAGGGTATACTGCAGTGCGTATTAGGATATTTTAATGTGTATCTCGCAGTACCTTGTTCTTAATCCACGTTTAACCTGTTGTAGTCTTTACACACTTGGAAAAATTGATGTAAATTTAGGTGCTCTGAGACTGAGATATACGAACGTCAATTTTGACATAAAATTGAGTCGTAATAGACGAGAAATTCTGCTCAATCAAACGTACTTTCGAACTTTTCAGTCTCGGAGCACTTAATTTTACATGACATGTTTGTTTACGCCTCATTCTTTATGTCAAAGATGAATTCCGTAACTTGTATGACTAAGCGTATTTCTAAGCGTGTTTTTCGAGTTCGCGGCTATTAACTATAGTCATCAGAAATCGAGGGGGACGACTCTATCTACGATGCAGAAAAAATTGTGTTATACTGTGGCTAGCTGCACGCACGCTGAGTAGATAGAAAGAAGATTGTTGACGATTCTGAAGATTTCCTGCAAGAAGATGATGCACGATGCAAGTAGATGCGACAAATGAAAGAAGATTTTTCGAAGATTGATTCTCTAGTGTGAGATTTGTTGAGCATCTAAACTTGAGATTTAGATGTGTCGCCCCCCTCGTCAGAAATCATGATAATGTACATTGAATTACGGCTCCGCAAAGCTTCCCTAATAGAAAAGTTACATAAACTGTACTTAACGACGTGTTCAAATTATTTGTGGAATACATTTACCATTCGGGTTATCGTTCGTTTATGGATTATTAGGGCTACGAAATTGACCCTTGACAAGGAATTTAATTTATAGAAAAAAGGCTGTCATGTGTAAATGTCAAAACAGATTCCACCACTTTCACAAGGGCAGTTCCATTAAATGCAGAACAATAGCGAGAACCTTCAAAAAGTTCCAAAAATTAACGACAGTCTAGAAACATTAGGAAGTTTAAAGAACAAGAAAACTTTCGGAAGCTTCACATAGACGAAAACAGTCACGGTACTGCAATTTCAGGGCAATTCCAGGAACATCATCAGAAGAGTAGGGAGAACTCTAGGAAGGATGAGAGAAATTCAGTGCGGTCAAAATTGTAGGAACTACGAAGAAGTTCTGTGGAATGAAAGGAAATTCCGAGGATTTTGATAAAGTTTCAAGAACAGACTGCGGGATAGTATGGAAACTTTTGTAAAATTTGGGGCACTTTGGGTAAGCTTCGAGAACCTTATGGTGGTTTCATCACCTGCAGGAATGCTGCAGGAAGTTATAATAAATAATTGGATCTTCAGATAAATCCAGAGAGCTTCAGAAAAGTCAAGAAAACCTCAGAGATGTTCAGACAATTTGAGTAAAATTGAGGAAACTTTAAGGAAGTTTCAAGAAAATCAGAAAAGATAGGTCTAGAGATTATCAGGGTAGCACAGAGAGTGTTACACACCCTACAGAAGTTCCAACAGACTCAGACAGAACATTACAAAACTTCCAAAAACCTCAGAGGATTTCCGAAAACTTCAGCAAAGCTCCGGCATTTTCAAAGAAGATCAAAGAACTTTAGAGAAGCAGCATCATTATTTCCAGGGATGTTCCAAATATTTCGAGGAAAATCAGAAATCTTCAAAGCAGTTCCGTTTTGTGAATTTCAAATTAGGTCAGAGATTTTCAGGGAAGTTTAAAGATCTATAGGACAGTTTTATTTATTTCAAGCCAGTAGAACTTCAGGAGAATTGCAAAAATTTAGGAAAGCTTCGAAAACTTGTGGGCAGTTCAACTTATTTCATTGGAATAACAGGATCTTTACAGAAGTTCCAAAACAATCAGAGAATTTCCGAAATTCTCAGCAAAGTTCCGACATCTTCAAAGAAGATCAGAGAACTTTAGAGAAGTTTAAAGATTTTCAAGCAGTATCACCACCAATAAACCGACATGACACTTAACGGACATCAGGCGAAAATCGTAAACGGCCAATTTAAATGTGCAGTGATCCAAACTGTCAAAACCATAGGATTTTTTGATCGAGTTAAAAATAATTTGTTCAGAATAGATCAGACACGAACCATTTCATAACTTTTGCATGCGGGTTCATGGCTTAGCTAAATATTTCCCGCGAACAC